AGCGACACTGGTCCAGCCCAATCCAGCCTAAAAAAAAAATTGCCACGTGTCATTGGAGTCGCTATGGCCCATAGCGACACCGTACAAAACAGCCCCAAAGGTGTAATATGTTTCAAAACAACCCCATTTTGGTAATTAGTTTGTAAAACTACACCAAATTAGTCGTTTAGCCCCCAACGTTTCATCTTGCGGATTCCCATACAACCGTGACAAAAGTTTGTTTACCCTTTTCCTCATTTTAGTTATATATATATATATATATATAGTTTCAAGATGTGAATTTTATAAATTCAACCGTTAGATTGAAAGTTCTTTACTCTTAGATCATGTATACAAAATTTTATATTAATCCAAGATGATTTGATACTTCATTCTTATAAAACAAAGTTGACGTAATATATATTTCAAAATATACTAAAATATGAATATTTTGATTACCTTCAAATTCTTGTGCAATTTTAACAAAATTTGATATACACATATAAAGTGATATGAACTTTCAATCTAACGGTTGGATTTACAAAAAAATTATTTAATATAAAATTATTGAACAGTGTAATACTGATGTTATTATAACCATCCTCATATATATATATATATAAAGAAGAAATCATGTTCATGGTGTATGTTAAATTTAAACAATTCAATTATTAAATTAAAAATTTCTATGTATATATCAAGTCTATAATTAAAAAAAAAAATAAAAATTATATGATATTTTATTATATAAATTTAAATCAACGTATAAAATATTTTTATTAATATCTCTCAATTTGAATTGGCGAAATAAAATATTAAATAACTTTTAATTTTGATAAAAATTTATTTTAATTTATGTATTAAAAATATTTAATTTAACGATTTGATCATTTAAATTTAATGTATATCATAAATTATTATCTAAAATAATTTTACCAGGAGTTACTCTTTTGATGATTTAATTCTCCTTTCTCTCTTTCTCCCCCACTCCCTACCACTCTATATATATATTCCTATTTTTATTATTTCATTTATTATGTATGTATTAAGTATTTACGAAATTTGTTTTCGATGAAATTAATTTTGTAAATTAAAATTGAAATAAGTAATTTATGGCTTAAATATGTTTTTAGTCCCTCAAATTTAAGGTAAATCTATTTTTGGTCCCTCAAATTTAAAATTGTTATTTTTAGTCCTTGTAATTTCAAAAAATCTTATTTTAGTCCTTATATTCAAATTTTGTTAAGAAATTTATCAAACATTATTGCATAAAATTTACTTATTCATGTCCCTATTAGTGAAAATATCACATTAAATCCAGTTGATATTGCATAACTATCATAATTAGTCACTTTCAAATATGTTATTAGTGACTTAAGGGACTAAAACAAGATTTTTGAAAATTACAGGGACTAAAAACAATAATTTTAAATTTGAAGGACCAAAAATAAATTTGTCTTAAATTTGAGAGACTAAAAACATATTTAATCCTTTGTATTTCAATATTTTTTTCTTAAATTAGTAGTAAAATCAATATAAATTTTTTATCTAACATAAAGATCTAAAACTATTTCAACACAAACAATTTTAAACATATAATCATCTTCGACTAAGTATACGAATATTTATTCAAAATCACAAAAAATTTCTATGTTTAGTTTGACATTACAAGATCCCAGACATGTGCTAACATGAAGCAAATCATATCTAAACACATATTCTATTTATCACCTTTTGTTTTTATTTAAATATATTTTTGTCCTATAATATATAATGTTTTTTATCCTTATAAAATTATTTTTTAAATAGTCCTTATAAAATTTTTGTTTTTTTATTTTTGTCATTATTTTGTTTTAGGCCTTGTAATATTTTTTTTTTGTTTTTGTCCTTGTAATATGTGTATAATTTATATTTAGTCACTATTATTTTTTTTTCAAAGGAACCAACTCAAAATTAATAAAATATTATAGAGACTAAAATTAAAAAAAAAACGATATATTATAGGGACTAAAATAAAATAATCAGAATCAAAATAAAAAAAATTACAATGATCATTTAAATTTTTTTTTGCAAGAATCAAATCATTTCTCAAACATATTTAAACCTTTTTTTTATCCTCTTTCTGTATCTCTCTTTTTCCACTTTAAGTGTATAAACCCCAAGAAATGTGAAAACAATCTGTGGGTCCAAAATTCCGGGTCTAAACTTGGAATCAAGCCCCGCAAGACAAGCACTTATCTTATTGGTAGGAATGGACCATACAACAACTAATTTTAATCAAAGAATAAGTAGGATTGAATCGGACGCAGAATCAAGGGATTTTTGCTTTCTTGTGGGGCCTGTAATCTGGTTGGTGTGATGGTATGATGAGACATGCATTTCTGTTCTATAATGTATGTCATGACTTGCTTTTTATAGTTTGGCTTGGTTCCGAAACTTTCTATAACAGTTAATGCAATGATGGGTTTGAGACTTTGAGTAATTAGTATTGTATTGGTCTCATATATAACTTAAGATTACTTTGCAGTGAGTTTAAAAAACTAGGAAAAAAAATGGTAGAGTAATATTATGATCATGAAAGCAACATATGGCAAAATGAATTTAAAAGTACAAGATGGCTCAACTGAAACTTTAACTCAAGGAGATGCCACATAATTGTTTGTAAATGCAGTGGGTAGCATGATACATATAAGATCCAAGCAGATCTAGATTGATTTGTTAAGTCACAACAGAATTTGTCCTCTCTATCAAGACTAGGGGTACCAAGTACCACAGGAGTGGCAATACCCTTAGAGCACCTCCAACGCATGGTGCTTAACGAGTTTCTTATTCACAAGCACCGTCTCTAACAAGGAACGCCCGTTGGAGTACGCTTCCGTGGCACAAGAAGAAAAAAAAAATTTAAGTTCGTGTCTTGCAGAAGCAACGGGTGCTTGCCTGCTTCTATTGTATTTTTTGTTTTCTTTTTCTTCACTTTCCTTTTCCCTTTCTGTACATAAATTATTATAATAATTAATTTTATAAAAATTTATCATAAAATGTAGTGAGATATTAAAAAGTGTAGTATAAATTGTAGAAAAGTTAGGGTGCTTATAAGCAATTCTCATTGAAATAAAAATTGTAAAAATATAGTATGAGTTGCTTATGAGTGATGTGGTACAATGAGACCCATTTAAAGTTATGGATCTGGATTTGCTACAGTAAACACACTTATGTGTTAAACAATTGGAAGCGTTAGATCAAAGACTAGAGGGTTAGATTTTGATCTCACCAATTCAGATTTAAAATACATGCTTGAAATTTGAGGCATCCTTCATCGACTGTTTCAATTTATGGACTGTAAATACTAAATATATAAAATTATGAGTACACCAAATCCAATTCCTACCCTCACCAACATTAATGACAACCGAAAGTTTTGTTGTAGATGTATTGAGAATTATTATTCTGGCAAAAGATACAATAGGAGCATACAATCATAATTGAATTTTGACCTTTGTGCTGGTTGAATCATAAGTACACAAGCTTCATTTGGTAAATAATTTAAAATTGAGAATGAAATATGCTAGAATTTTCATCGTATTATGGAACGCCATCCATAAAAAACAATTACTTTACCTTTTCTGGATTCTTCTCATAAATTCCATAAAAAGCTTCAAGTAAACCTTCTCGGATATTTTGACTGATACTGTAGGGTGCAATATCAATCATAATAAGCAAATGTATTCATCTCACCAAGAGTAAAATGTTCCACTTGTAATTCATATTTTAAACATACAGAAAAGATAAAGAACATACCTTCCCATCATTCCAAAATCATAAAAGATCAAACTTCCACCATTGACATCATCAACTGTAATATTTCCAGGATGCTGCATGAACAATGTAAATATTAGCTACGAGAAGCATCAAATTGAACCTCTTAAGTGATAATCGCAAAAATATGAGAATTTATGCATCCTCATTTAACACAGTTTTTTCCCTAGAAAAAGGAGGGGAAAATAAAAACATGTTAGGACAGTATAATAACGAGTCCCTAACAGTTTTGGATGCTCGGCGGCAGTCACTATTCCTCGTCACATGAAGGAAGTTACTTCTAATGCCCCTGTGATTAAGTCCTAAGGAGTTTTCCCACCCAAGGCTACAAGTTATAAAATGCCTAAAGTTGCCCCAGGTTTCGTTGTTGTGACTTCCTAATTTATTAAAGGTACTTGCTTAAATTAATAATAAAGGATAAATTTTCAGAGCTTATCATCTAAAACCTAAATAAAAAGCCTGAATTTGAACTTTGAAGGTCAGTCAAGTGAATTATTTAATTTCAAGTAAATGTCATCATTATAAAAATTAGAAAAAGTCAAGTGATGTGATATGATGACCAAAGTAAATTTTGTTCCTCAGAAGAAGGAAGCAGATTACTACCTGTAACTCTTTTTTATTCAATAAAATATTCTTTATATTTCCAGGGTCCTAACAGTAACACGGGTCAACTCTTGAGGCCCAAGCATGCAACGATCTCCTTTCTAATATACATAAGATTTACCAGCTACTTTGCATAATATCTCTGGCTGTGCAGTTCAATCTAAAGAATCCGTCTATGCCTACATGTAACATTTGTGTTTCTCTTGGAACACGTGCATGAAATAGAAGAAAGACTAAATCAGTACTGAACTAATCCACCAAAATAGCTCTCCGATCGCAGTTTCTTTCTTTGCGTATATCTTTACTCCCTTTCACAATCAACAGTCTCCTCTGATAAAGCCAGTAGTCCATTTTTAGAATGGGAAGTCAAGCCATCTAGCATATCATATATGTACAAGGTTTCAGGGTGATCCCTATCCTCAACTGTAAATATAGTAGATTTCCCATTCACTTGAATAATACTTTGCCCGGGAAATTTCCTCACTTGAAGATATTTCATCTTTCTTCTTATAGCTGCAACTCCGTCCCACATTTCAGCTGATGCATATATGTTGGCCATCTCCACGAATGGAACTGCCACCTGGGGCTCCAGTTCAAATAGCTTTTCAGACACATACCTTCCGATCTCCATATTACCACGAAGTTTGCAAGCAGAGAGCAATGCACTCCAAATGCCAGCATCAGGTTCAAAAGGCATACTTTTAATAATTTCTAAAGCTTCTACGAGATGTCCTCTACGACCAAGAAGATCAACCATACAAGAATAATGATCTATACCAGGGCTTATGCCATACTTTTGTGCCATCATGTTGAAGCAATCCAATCCTCTTTCTAGCAAACCTCCATGTGCACAAGCTTGGAGAACAGCAAGAAATGTTATGCGGTTTGGCTTCGTTCCCATTTCCAACATCATAAAAAATAGGTCCAGAGCATCTTTAACATCACCATTCAAAGCACAAGCAGTAATCATGGTTGTCCAGGTGACAAGACTTCTGTTAGCCATAGTGTAAAAAAGCTCCTTAGCACCCTTAAAACTTCCACACTTGGCATACATGTCAATTAGTGCGTTACAAACTACAACATTATCTTTCAATCCTTTGTTAATAGTGTAATTGTCAATCCATTTTCCAAGTTCAAGTGCCCCCATTTGGCCACAACCTGAAATCAAAGCAAGCACAGTAACCAAATCTGGTTTCTGACCAGCAGCTTCCATTGCATTAAACAAGGCCAGTGCCTCACTCATGTATCCTTTTTCAGCATACCCACTAATCATTACAGTCCAGGAAACACAAGTTTTGTTATACATGCCATCAAACAAAAATCTTGCAGAATGAACGTCCCCACACTTGGAATACATGCAAATAAGAGTATTCACCACACATACATCAGAATCACACCCCAATTGAACTCCATGAGAGTGTACCAGCAAACCATGAAAAAGTGCCTTAGGTTGCATGCATGACGAAAGCAAATTGAGAATTGTGCTAATGTCTGGGGAAAAGCCACAATCTAGCACCCTTTTGTAACAACTAATAGCCTTGACGTTGTTCTCAAAATTAGCATATGCTGCAATCATGGAGTTCCAGGAAACAACAGACCTTAGACCAGGGTCAATTTCATCAAACATCGTCTCTGCTGAGCACAAGTCACCACACTTGGCATATGCGGCAATCAAAGTGTTAGCCACAGAAACATCCATCTGAAAACCAATTCGAATCCCAAAGGAATGAACTGCACCCAAAAGTGTTAGATTTTTCACGTGCAAAACGGCATGAACGAGCAGCAAAACCGTGACCGAATCGGGACGAATCCCAGAAATCCTCATCTGACACAGAAGACAAGACAACCTATGAAGAAAACCACCGTGAGCAAAACCCAGCAGCATTGCATTCCAAGAAGCAATGTCCCTAACGGGCATTTCAACAAACACATTGTGTGCATCTTCCAGCTGACCACACTTGACATACATATCAACCATAGCGGTCTGCACGAAAATGTTGGATTGGAAGCAGGATTTGAGGACGTGGGCATGGATGAGTTGGGAGTTCCTGAGATGGGAAAGTGTGGCACATGCTTTTGCGACAAAGGGAAAGGTGGAGTTGTTGGGTGTAACGCCACTTCGCTTCATCTGGCGGAAGAGAACAAGGGCGTGTTCGGCATGCCCCTCATTCACAACGTGTCTGATCTTGGAGTTCCATATGTTTGTAAAACGGTTGATGCATGGAGTCAGAGTGACACCAAAATAATGGGTTACCATTTCTCATCGCTTCAGGGCAATCCTCACGTCAAATTGCTGCACTTAGTGCAGCCACTTGTCTTCTTTGGCGAGTTCTTCAAAGAGCAAAAAGCAGTGCTCGGTTCGGAGCAGCTTCACGTACTTGTTCAGCGTCTTCACCAGAGGCTCTTTGTCGCTTATCTTGCGCGTGAGCAAACGAACCAGTTCTTGGGCTTCCGAATTGTGGCTCGTTTTTTTCCTTTTGGGGCTCGGGCCGCATGAAACTCGGCTCAGTGAGCCCGCGCGTATCAGTTTGTCCCGTGGTTATGGAGTTGGACTGTCGGAGTAAAATGGCTAACAGGGAGCGTATTAGTCAGAATAATAAAAAATTCTAATAATATATTTTCTATTTTAAAAAAAATATTTATATATATAATAAAAATTTTCTTCTAAGTCAAGAAAGTAAGATTCTCTGAGAATTATTTTGGGTATATTTATTTTAATTTTTTTCTTATAAAAATATTTTTTTAAGTGAAATATTTTTTTATGTGCTTTTCTAAACTTTTTTTTGAACAAGCAAGCAATTTTCTACTTTTTTAATAAGCAACTTTAATTAGCTTCATTAATAATTATTTTTTTTAAAACACTTGCTTAGAATTTTTTTAAAAAAGTTTAAACAAACGAATTCTTTATGAAAAATTGGGATAAAATGGTTTTGAAAAATCATATATCTTGCAAATCTTGTTTTTTAAATAGATATTATACCAATCATAGGAAATCAATATTCCTAATATAAAATTAAAATTAAAATTTTCTCTTCTACTAAACATTCACTTAAAGTATATATGCATATGACTATTTTGCATTTCATCCTAACATTATAAAATGTCAAAACCTTTCTTAAGATGGAGAAGGGAAATTAATTATTTTTGAACAAAACATTATTTTAGTCTTTGAAAATTTATTTGAATGTCACGATAGTTTATGATACTGAAACAACTTCAAATAAATTCTTAAAATAAATATTTTAGTTATTTCATCTTACAAGCACTCAAATTTAGCAAGTTATTATCATTTAATTTTTTTTTTGGTAGAACTTATTATCATTTAATTTGATTTCTACATGTGTGTTAATATTATTATTTAAATCACATTTTATTTGTTGAGTTTTAGAATAATATGATTAACGAATTATATTTTTGCAAACAATTTTAATTTTCTTAATTTGAAAATTTAATATTAACAGAATTATTATTATTATTATTATTATTATTATTATTATTATTATTATTATTATAATATTGACTGTGTAAGTATGTGAAATTCTGACAACACTAAATCCTATTCCTACCCTCAGCAAAATTAATGACAGAACCGAAAGTAGTTCTGTAGATGTATCGAAATAATTACTGTAATTGGAGCATACAATCATAATTGTGTTTGACCTTTGAGATAGTTGAAAACGTAATAACAGTCATAATCATCCTAAAAAACCAAATGTATAATCCCCGTAGAAAGTGATTCTTTATTCTTATTTTTACATACTTCAGACTAGATGCGAACTACTCAAGTCTGATAAGACTATTATAAGAAACAAAATCCTCTTTTTAAAAATTTAATGTAATTATATACTAAGACTCAAACACAACATGTTTGTTAAATCGGAGTCACGAGCCAATTGATCTACATAATGTTTGGTTTATTTACTTGTTCTCACAAATGATATTATAATTATAAATATAAATTTATCACTTTATTTTTATATTTCAACAATTCCTTCACAAAAATTTGTAAAACATGAACTTACGAGGCATTTTATTATAACTAGAAGAACACCCATAATTTACACGGCTAGGAGAAGCGTCAATTTTATTATACCTTTAACATAAGAGAGAAAGAAGGAGAGAAGGGGAGGGGGAAATGAGGATATTAGGATCCAAATGCAAGATATGAGTTGAGTCTCACATTGCAAGTATGAAATTCTAGTGTATTTATAAGACCTAGGTTCTCTAACTACAATAGCTAGTTTATGTTGTGGTTCTTATCATTCATATCAAAGCCTTCTACCATGTCTAGTTGAAAACATGCGGTCCAGGTGATGATGCCAACATGGCATTGTTCTCCCAAGATTGTGGAGCATGGTATGATGCTTGGATCCGATTACCATGTATAAACCTAAATTCCCATTTGAAGTATGAGTTTTAAACTCTAACTACAATAATTAGCTTTTAGGAAGGGTAACAAATAAATTCATTTAGTCATTATCCATTTAATCCATCCATAAATAAATTTATTTAATTCATTCATTAGAATAAAATTTAATAACGAATCAAATCTAATCCATTCATTTAATTTTATAAATAATTAGTGATTCATTCTCTACTTTTTTTTTATAAATCCATTATATACAACATAAGATATTTATTAGATTGAAATTTTAAAAGACTATTTATATATATATATATATATATATATAGTCAATTTTATAAAACTATATGAAAATGTAATAACATATTAAAAAATAAATAAAATATTTTAAAATAAAAAATTATTTTATTTTTAAAATATTACTTTTATGGATGAATTGAATAACCATAAAGAATATTAAAAAAAAGTTGTCAATAGATAGATTTGATGAATTTTTTTATTTTAAATGGATTGAATGTTTATGTAAATTTTTAATAATTTAAATAAATTAATTTTATTCAATTTATTATGATCCACCTAAAAAATTATTCGATCTATATGTTTGCCACCAATTTAAAATCTCATCATACAAGGCATTGTTTTAACTTTTAAACCCTAAACAAGATAACTTATCTATCTATCCATATATATATATATATATATAAAGAGAGAGAGGAACTGTATCAAGTGAATTGTGAGAATGAGAAACAATAAATACAAACCATTAAATCATATTTAAATGAGAAAGATTATAAGATAAATACATATCTTTTTAAATGATTATATAATTATTCACTTTAATCTTGGCCGGAATGTATGGTTGTATAACTCAGATTTATAGTTCTTCATATATGATATATTCCGAAAAATTATTAAGACAACCCAAAAATTAAGGACATTTTCAAAATTAAATTACATGTTAGAATTTGGGAACTAGACATACATGCCGGTGTAGAAGAAGAAACCTATAGAGATATAGACAGTTGTATGTGCTGATCCCTGCGGCTGAGTGGATGAAGCTATCCATCACCATCCTTCAACTGGGAAGGCAATAAGGGGGGAAAATGGAAGAATAGAAATTAGAAGAACTTGAGAGCACAGAAGTCAGAACAGGGAGACAATAGACCTTTTCTAGACTTTGAATATGTCTGTATAGGTCAGAACAAAGCTGAGAAAAGATGAAACAAGGCTGAAAACGTCCCAGGTTTGCTTAAACAAAGATGAGTTAGCCAGAATATGGACGGAAAACACTGTAATGCCACAAAACATCACCAGAGAAAGGTGACTCTTAATCGAAGATAAGGGTGAGGGTTCAGCGCTTGAGCAAGTGACAGGAAGTAGGATTTCTGACTCTTTGTTCTGATTAAATGAGAAGTGGCACAAAACCCGAAAATTGCCCCGGTAAAACAGCAGCAAAATAACACCTTCAAGGCCAGAAATGGTTTCTGCACTGGAACAGAGTCACACTCGCTACAGACACAAAAACCCTTTGATTTCAGAGGCAATGGTGACTGGAACCGCTGCTACGTGATGAAATTTTTGTTGCACTTGGGGGCCACTGTGCACAACCATTAATAGCACCATTATTTCCCGCTGAGTTATCTACTACTACGCTTACAATCAATGAAATTTACCTCTATATCTCCAAATATTTTTTTTATATTCAAAATCTTGATAATATATATTCCAGTCCGCCGTTTCCAAAGTAGAAGAAGAAAATTATTCTACTGAGTACTGACCAAATATTAAGCACAAGCACCCCAGTGATTGGGAAAGGCACTTTTGCTCCAGCTTCAGCTAGCAGACAAACTTCTTATTTTTGCTGAACAAAGATACATCAAACTGGGAAATAGCCAGAAACTCAACGTCTAAGTTGGGAATCAATAAGAATAAAATCATTTTGTCCATCTCACATCTACCATAAGGGATCAGATTTACTTGTCATAATTCAAACTTCTATAGATACCAGTATTTACTCTCCTGTATGACCATTTCATCATACAAATCAATATGGCAACCAACTATATAACTAGCACAATCAATCATATCAGCTAAACTTGCAACCAAGCATATCAAAATGTACTTTAACAAATACATCAACTAAGATATGGTAATTATAATTAGAGAGCTCAGCACCTCAGCTTCATGGACAATACAAGCATTTACTCCAAAACAATTGATAGCTTTAATTTGACGCACAGCTCACTAGCAGAGTAGCAGACATATTATATACATTATACCCAATATCTTAGGCTCCATTTACTTTGCAGAAAATAACATCATTATAAAAAAGAACCGTTATGGCACGTTCTATTAAATAATAATGTCTTCCTGGAATTTGATTTATAGTCTAGAAACAACGGAAAACTACATAGACGTTGCTATCTGAGCTATATCTTGTTTTGAAATCAGCATCTTGAACTTTTGAATTAGGGTGATAGGCCATCAAATTTTTTAAAACATGCAAACAAACCCTTATCCACTAATTAAGTTAAAATCAATCATTATGTGACTTCATCTTTAATTAATACACATGATAGTCTCTAATCTCTATATTATATACATATTTAAAAAAACAGTAAAATTTCTATCCTTTTTATTTAACTTTTATATCCATAAACAAGAAAATAAATAATTTTAAAAAAAATAAGAGGGGGGAAATTTTTGTTTTACAAAAATAATATGAATAAATTAGATTAGAGATTATCATGAGCATAGTAGTTAATAGCGGGTGGAGCTCTGGAGCGGAGCGGCCTGACCCCGCAATCTTACTGTTGTCGCGTGGCGAATGTGTGTCGCGACCGCGTCAGTGGCGAAGTGGCGAAAAATCGCGGTGTGATTTTGACATACCCTTCATTAAGGGTAAGTCTGTCTTTTCAATTGGGCTTTTTGTGCCCTAATGCTCCCCTCTTCCTTTCGCGGAACCACTTCTCAGTTCTTGCACTCCCTCTCCTCTCTCTCTCGAATGATTGTTTCTTCTCCGTTGAGGACGATCGTGGACGCGCAGTCCTCCAGTTCCACGACGAACTCCAGCTCAGACGAGCCTCCAGCTCTGATGAGCCTCCACCTTCGACGCGCCTCCAGCTCCGACGTGCCTACAGCTCCGACGTGCCTACACCTCCGACGCGCCTCCCTCCGCTCATCGTTTGTTTTCCTATCTTATGTCT